AGGTGTTTACAAACCTCAGCTTTCCTGGTTTGTCCTTTAGATGCAACCCTTTAATGTCTGATGTGAGCTGCACTTGGATTGTATGCTGGAAAGTATGCTTGTATGCTGCTAAGCCAGTCCTTTAAAGAAGCCCCGTGGTTTATTCTGTGGGTATCTGCTCCATATATAAATCCATGAGGAGAAAAAGGCAGTATTTCAGAGCAGGTATTGCTCCAGGTCATCACTGACCCTGAATAAAACGTCAAATTCATTTTGTCAGTGAAGGTGATTTCTACGTGCTGTCAGCTAAGCAGAGCAGCTGTTGAACTGTCAAAAGTGGTGCAGAGAGGAGTTTAAAATTAGGTTTCCAAGAGTAACCACACTGGTCATAGTACAGCGTTTCTTGAATCTGCACAATCCACTGTCACGACTAGTCAGTTGTATTGTACTGTGCTCAAGGTTTGGAAAAAATAGCTTTTTCCCTACCTGGCACACAGTTATTTTAAAGTTCTTTTACAGGGGAATATTTATTACTACAGAAATGCTAACGATAATGCTGTTCAGTATGTAAATACGATATTAAACTTGATTCAGAATAAAAAATATCCTTGGACAGCAATGAAGACTAAAATTATGGTTTGTCTAGTTGTGAGTGTTCCTTGTTAAACTATTTGTGTTTATATGCTGGTTTGTATTTTGAAGGTCTGGAGCCAACTAATCTCCCTATTTCAGTGATAGAATTGGTCCCTATATTTTTGTTCTTATTTAGTCTGTCTCTTTCTCCACAGGGTATGCAAAGCTCTGTTTTGTTCTTGGATAATCCAGTTCAAGATTCTTGTCCTTTTTTTTTTTTTTTTTTTCAGCCTCTTTCTGAAAGGAAATTCAAATTAGTTCACCGTTGGGAAATTTGCCTTAATGTTGAAACAACAAATCTCTGTAGCTAGTTTTTCGAAGAAAATACAATTTGTGCAATTGGTCTGCTTCTGTCTGTGCTTTCCTCTAGTAGCTTTTGAATCTCTCAATCAGTGATTACTTCATTTGGCAAATACTCCTTTCCTATAGGCTTGTGAAAAATAGCAGATGGGTAGAGAAGGCATTACTTGATTGTCTCCTTTAGGGAAAGGCAGAAAAACTTGAACTGTTAGGTATTCTGTTTGTCAGCCCCCAAGTGACCAGTCAGCCTGTCAGGCAGTCAGCCATGTAACTGCAGATATGGAAAGCAATACTTTTGATCCTCTGACAAACTCCAAAAAGGAAGGTACGAGTTGAGGGAAGGAGCCAGTGAAGCTGCAGAAATTTAGTTTTAAGGAGACACAGGGGAAAAAAAAATCTCCCTCTCTACAATACTGTGGTTATTGGTTCTATATACTGCTAATAAATAGCAGTATCGGCTTTCTGTTGCTTGCTGATTCATTTTTACTTGTGTGGAAATACGATACTCTATCACAAGTTAAAATGAAGGAATCTATCGTAGCCATTCAGTGTAACTAAGAACTGCAAACTGATTAAAGTGATTGTCTACCATTGTGATAAAATTGATAGTATGTAATCAAATATTTTCTGAAATGGAAAATGCCTTAAAACATGAAATGCTTGTCCGGAAGGTGTAATAACTAGAACAATTAGTTTGCATAACAGGCTTTTGAGAAATAAATTATAGCTGTTGTTTTACTGCTGTCAGTGACTTGAAATACACTGATTTGAAGATGGGGGAGTCTTGTTTTTTTCTGTATTTTTTCTTAAGTGTGAGCCTCATTCAAGTCTTAGCATATACATATATGTATCTCACTGATTCACTTCAGTGATGTTAATGGAAGGTTGAGATGTACTTTCTTTGAATATCAGCCATTAGGCCTTGGTTCCCTTTCTGAGAACATTTTGTGAAAAATACTGAATGAGTGCAAGTGTAATGGGGTTTCACTTTTTAAAGCACTGTTGTGTGGGATTCCTTTCAGTATGTAACATTAGTATTTTACCATGACTTTTGTTTTAATTCATTGTAAAAATTGTAGAAATTAACAGATTTTATGCAATTTCAGAGAATCAAGTTAAAAGTAGTTTCATAGAATTTAGTAAGGAATTCAACCCCATGCAAATGACAAGCTTCTATATCGCTTCTATATAAATCTGTGATTTAATAGAAAAGAATAAAAATTACTTTTTGACAGTGATAAGTACATTTTTTTAGGTAAAGCACTGAATTGAGGCAAAGTTAGCCTTTTACTGATGGTTTAATTGAAGATCCTTTAGCTGTCTATAGGCAGGGTGGATGAGCCCTAACTATGGCTCACCATTTTCTCCTAATAAGAGTTGATAAAGTGCATGTTTTGTCTATTATGGGCTATAAACTGGCTGCCACATTTGATTGTCTTGCTTTATTTGATTTTGGGGGGTGTGTGGGTGTTGGTTTTGGTATAATATCTCTGTGTAATTTAGTAACACCAGTTCAATTTTCCAATACTGAAGGAGGCCAATTTTTTTTTTTTCCGTGTGCTTTTTTCCAGTACTTTGAAATTGTAAAAAAGCTAGGAATTCCTTCATTTGGTAGCTGGAATAGTAAAATCGTGCATTTTAAAGTTGTGTATACAACTTCAGTTTTCTATTTATGCTTTCCTGAAAGGCAGCTCTTTAACAAGGATGTGGATTTTGCATTGTTTAAAGGTGTGGAGAGAATAAATTTAAAGCAGCAGTTTTGCATTAATACAGATTATATATATTTTTTTTTTCCCCTAGTAATCACCAAGTGCTTTTTTTCATGCTACATTAAGTTTTAATTAAAAATGCAAGTTTAGGAGAAAGCCCGTTTCACTGTTAAATATGCCGGTAGAGTAGACCGTCTCCTGATTTCTGTAAATTCACTAGGCTTTTCTGCTGAAGTACTGTGTCCTCCAAGTAAATTTCATGTTGATCACCAGCTGGGGAAAGGCTTGGTTACACAGAGGTATTCTGAATAGCTAAGGTGCATCGGTTGAAAGAGCAAGGCTTAGTTTGCTGTAGTGTAATCCTCCCAAGGCCAGTTCATGCCTGAGAGATATTGTCTGTGGAAGCGTTCATCAATTTCCACCTCCTGAATTTTGAAGTCACCACTCTAATTAATATGCTTTAATTTTTCTTACTGATTACACGTTGGCATGGCTGAAGGTATAACTTGACATCCTAATGAGTTACGGGTGAAGGAAGCGAGGTATGAAGACCAGACCCAGTAATTGTTGTTGGATCTGTGATCATGATGCGTTGGCCAACACGGGTGTGTCTGTATCACCCTCCCAAGACCAGTAATGTGCCGTATGGCCAGTGAGGGGGGAGGAAAGCAGGAGTAGTGGTTCCAGTTGGTGGGAGATGTGGAATCGGTCAGTGGATGGGGTTAAGAGGACAGAAGTGTAGCTCAGATAAAATGAAGTTATAAACAGATGATGTGAAATGTACTTCTAAAAATAACTGATATTTAGATAAATGCAGTCATTCTGATGCACTTTTAAATATGACTGTTTTTTTATTAAAATTTACTTTTTATTTCTAAAAAAGCTTCTTAAACCAAAGTATTCAGTTAATTACAATTACAGTATAAATATATAAACAAATTACCACAGTCATTATTCCATGATCTGTGGCAGTTGCCAACGTACACACTTTTTGTGGCGTGTACTAATTTGCATGAGTGTATCCATCTGTGGAAGAGAACTTTCAGTTCCTTTGCATTTGCTGAACACCAGGAATGCTCATGGATGATTGCTGTAGACTGGCTGGCTAACAGCTATGTGCTTGTATGAGTTATCTGATTTGAGGTTCGGACAAACTTCCGGAAACTAAGTACCTGTAACACTGTTTTCCCAGTATGTGGGTTGCAATGGTATTGTAAACTGTATGTGTCACACTTTGTAATTACAAAAATATACCCACACCCACTTGTTGATGCCAAATAATTCTAATGATGAGTATGGAAGGGCAAAATAGTTGTTTAACTGGAAGAATGTGGATGGTCTGTTTGAGGGGTGCTGTCAAGCTAGAGTATGATGGGAAACACAAATCTTCGCAGCTGGTACTTGATAAAACTAATGAGAGGAAAAGGTATGGCCTACATAGACAATTAAAAATAGAGAGGGTTGCATTTTGTTGTGGTGACAGCTTTAAATCTGAGCTCTGCTCTTGTCTTTTGACATCTTTGCAGTCTCTTGATGAAATATGCATTTGTGAATTATGCAACTATATGTTTACTTGCAAAGGAAGGCAATATTAGTACTGAGCAATAAATATGTCAACTCCTCTACTAAAAATATGCTTAAAAGTGGGTAGACTTTTGAATACAGAGTTTCTTTTCTGTTAATCTTTTCCCTGCCAGCCTAAACATGTCTAACGGCTAAGTGCTGGCTGCTGCAATGCCTTTGAAGCAGAGTTTGGAGCTCATATGATCATGGTGCAGAATTTTGGGATGTGAAACCACTGTAAAAAAAAGAATAAAAACCACCCACCCAAGCTCCCATATCTCCCCCCTTTTCTTTTGGGAGGAGGGTGGGGAAGGCAGAATGGAGCATAAATCTCTGCTGGCTTCTGTGCTCATAATGTTCTGGGTGGGATGATCTCCAGAATGGATGAACTCCAGGTGGGATTGTGTCAGCCAGTTGTGACTACTGTGGGACTTCAGTTAACTATCAGGGTTTCAGCAGTACTGTTTACGTGTAGAGCAGTTTGTGATCTGTTTTAAATTATTCCTTTCATTCTGTAGCTTTTGTCCTTTAAGCTTTTCGCTTGGAACTTCATGAGGCCAGAGAATACTAACAAGGGTAAATTACTCAAAGTTTCCAACAGAAAAGAGAGCACTGTTTTTTGTTAAACCTTCTTTGCTTTCTCGCTTGCCAACAGGAATTGCCATATGTATGTAGAAGGCTTTGGCTCTGGCTTTAAGTTCTTGATTGACGCTTCCTGCTTAGTAGGAGTAGTGTTATGCTTTTACATCAGCTGCAAATGGTTATGAGTTATTAACTGACGATGAGACTTCAAGCCAAGCATCTTGTGTTCCCTTTGCAGAAACGCAGCTGAATGGAGCTTAAAGGGCCACAGATGAAAGAACTTGAACACGTTTCTGAAGGTTTAAGTCTGACAGTGACCTCCTTACCTTAGTAATAAAGAAGAGTTTTTCAACAGGAGCTTAGGATATCTTTACTCCAACTTATTAATATACTAACTGGAATGGTGTTCTGACAACAATTCTCCGTAGTAAAGTACTTACCCTACTACAGAACGGTCTTATTTTCTCTACTGATAATGCAACTCAATGGAGGAAAGTAATGTTTTGATAAGCATGCGTGAAGATCGTTCCTTTCATGTGCGATACAGGTAAGACCGTATTAATTTTAGTACGGATGAATAAGTGCTGGTAAAAATAGAAAACTAAACAAGTTGCATCAAATAGTTTGGTATTTCTGTTATTGCAACGGAAAGCTAAAATAACTTTTTTTTTTTTTGCTTTTCTTGCTTTTGGAACTATGCAAATTCCCTTTTGTTATACAGTAGATTATATTAATATAATTACACTATTGCATAGTATTGGAACTGTGTGCGGTTGCAGAATAATACATGATTGTCTGTCTTTCCTTGTATTTCTGATAGAATGATATGAAGTATGATCCCTGCATGGACCTGCTCTCTCTTGTTTTAGCTTTTGGGCTGCATGTGCAAATTGTTGAGTTTTGTCTGCTACAGTTCTCCTTACTTGTCTCGTTATTGCTTCTACGAATGATGAATTTTTAGGTGTGCTGCCACCTAGAGCAGTATTTTCCTTGCTGAAAATAAAGAGATTTGATTGATAGATAGAAACTGCTTTGATTCCTTGGATTAAAAAAGTATTGTTATTGCAAGTCAAGAGGATATGCAATTTTCCTTCTGAGACCTTTTATCATTTTTCTTCTGGAATCCCCTTTACAGACCTGGGACAACACGTTAGCATTGCAGACTCCCTCGAATGAACCTGAACAACAGAAGCATTGTGTAGTGCATGGTATTTGGATGGCTGGTGTTTGGAAGGGTAAATCTTCCAGCTCATTCAGTAGGAAGGGACACTGGAACACTGGAATGTTTGTTTTAAAAGTAAATAAAAAGCACGATTCTTGCTGTGTGCTCCCCCCTACCCTCTACCCTTGGCCATCCCTGCTTTGGAGGCCTTTTCGTTGCTAGCTAACAGGAACAAACCACTACCCTTACTTGTAAGACAGTGCATGCTATGGCTTAAAATTAATTCTGAAAATATTCTGACAGTGTTGGATTGCTGTTAGATTGGTCTTCTCTTCTGTTTCATAGAACTACGGTGTTAGTTATGGTTAGCAGTGCAGTCAGCAGGAGGAACTTTTTCATGGTCAGTCAGGAGAAAATTAGCAAATAAACTGTAATTTACTCTCTGCTCTCTATATTTTTTTAAAATCGTTATGTGGTGGCTTTGACAGCAGGAATCCCTAAGTGTGTGAGCGTCTGTCTTCTGTGCTAAGTGTTTCTTGAATGTATCTAACTCCCAGCATTTCTGTAACATGTTTACCCACACTGTTGCTGACGCTCTTGGTCTTCCCCAGGCAGCTGTAGAAGATCCTTGCTCACTCTTCAATGAAAGCAGGAGCTGTTCAGGTTACTCTCATAGAAGTTAAATGGATGAAGTACGTGGCACGGCCAATTGCCTGGTTTAAATTGACAAGTAACTTCAAAAAAATTGGCAAGCACAGTCACGCCAAAGTGTCTTGCTACTTTATGCTGTATTTCAGTACAGGCTTGAACGAGACTGATTAAGAATAAACAGATTAATGGCCTTATTAAACCTTTCTGCAATAACTGTAATCTGATGAACATTTAAAAAACATCAAGGCATAATTCTTTAACTTTTTTTTTAAATATTAAACTTTTCTAAAACTTAGAGAAATTGCAAATTAATTCAGTGTATTGAACTGGAATTTTATGGGTTAAGTTAATAGCTATAATTTGTAAAGATTTTATTTGGTTGTAGTTTAAAATTTAATGCAGGAAAGAATAAGTCATAAATTATGGGGGGCGGTGGTTTTATTTATCAGTTTTTAAAATTTTTTACCTACGGATAGCATCCTAGGCTCGTTTGTATCTGACTGCTTTTTCCTTCCTTCTGGTATTCCAATAGAACTGACTTTTAAAAGGAGCTGGTGGCCCACTCCTAAGGCAAGGCTTTACTATGGGTCTGTTTCTTAGTGTGCAAGCTGTTGCTTTCTCCCCACTGTAGTCGAACAGTATTGCTTTAGCACCTATAAAATTGCTTATGCTGCTGGAAGGAAACTATTTTTTATTCTTACGTTGTTAAGTGACTGAAAATAAAATGCTGAAGTTAATAGGTGGGACTAATAAGTGATCTATAAAGTAAACATTTGTAGAACTCACTTGGCTTGCCGTGCAAAATTCATACACCAAAAACTTGTAACTGCTTTTATCTTGACTGGAGGAAAAGAACCCAAAATTCAGGTGTGCGGTTTCTTTGTGTGTGTGTGTTGTTTCTAAATTTGCCATCAAACTTAGTTTGACTAAACACAGTGTTGCTTTGGAATGGTCAATGAGGTATGCTTCTGCATCGTGTATAGAAACCAAGAATAAGGGCAGGAGTCAGGAACAGTATGTGATCTTCATTATAATATGCTGTGGCATTAGCGATTCTATGCATCTGAATTAAAGAGATACAATAGGGTGGGGGGTTTTTTGTTTATGTTTAGGTATGTTATGTGTATCAACATGTTTCATGGCAAAGTGCATGGCAGCCCCATTGCCCCTCAATGGCAAAAAATCTTCTTAGCGGGAACTAAGCAGAGTACAAGTAAATTAATTGTGTTTAAAGATTGTAGCAATCGATGAATCGTTTTGCCTTCTTCTAGTGCCTTATTTGTTACCAGTTTTCTGTTTATTTTAAGATGAGAACAGCTGAAGGAAGGAAGGCTCCAAAATGGGACAAAAAACCAGGCAGGCTAGGATGGAGGCATATGCCTAGGGTTTATGTTCTTATAAACGTAAAGGTTCAAAAGAGAATATGAAGAAGGTCAGAGAAAAACAAGGGGGGAAATAAAGAAAAAGAAAGGGGGCTGAGGCGGTGGGGATGGGGTGAGAAAAGAAAAGGGAGCCAGGCAAGATGAAAAGCTTAGAGGAACAGATAAGGATGAGGTAGTTTTACAAATGAGAAATTATTCAGGAGATGCCAACCTTTCAGAGAACAGGTCCAGGCAGCTATAAACAGAATAACAAAATGAAGCCCTGTATGAGTATTTCCACAGTGATATCTGGAAGAACATTATCCTGTTTAGCAGGAACAGAATTTCATTAGAAGTACACAGATGAATGGGCCTTGTTCTCGTCTCGATTCAATGTATCTTTTGTTTAGCCATTGGGTGTTGAATAAATAACTAATTCAATTCAGCCCTGGGAACAGAGACAGTAATTTCATATTCTCCTTGTAACTATTTAATGACTTCCTAAAACATTGATAACCTAGCCCTGGCTACTCTGCCGACATGCTATTTAACCATTAGTAGTGGCAGTTAAAACATTCCTAAGAGGGTAATGTTTTTTTGAGTGGAGAACACTTATGTAAATCTTGAACAAAACAAACAAAACAGTTGTTAATTTTCATAACAGTTCTTTAAGTAATGGAGGAAAAAAGAAAAAACCCAGGCTTCTTCTGAGTCCAGTTTCGGTACTTAATAGATAAGCCTAGCAATCTTTTAAAATAACTGAATTATTTCATAGCTCTTATATAATGTGAATAAAATATTAATACTGGGTACCGGCAACTATGGAAATAAATATTTCATTTTCTCTGTTCCTTTCTTTTAGGTTTATTTAATAGTTTATTTAGACTTTGTAATTGTAGGTGGTCAGTAAGAATGGATCCAAATGGAATTACAGCTTTAATGTGCTGTACAAATTCTTGCAGCCTGTTAACGCAACCTTTCTAGAGTTGTGCTGAAGAGTAGTGTTAAATTTGGGGTTCTTTTTTACGCAAACAATTACTAATTCTCATTTACTTCCTGTAATTCTGGTTGAGTTGAAGCACTCTGTAATAACAGTTGATTTTCATTAGCCTGGGTATAAGCCTTAGCTTCATAGCTGGTTATGTTCTGTATAAAACCCCCCAAATCTTTCATTTTTATAAGTTACATTAAGTCTGGGTTGCAAAGTCAAAAGATTATGTTTCAAGTTCCTTGATGAAATGGTAATGCTGCCTCGGCATTTGCCAGTCTTTGGCATAGTGTGAATTTAATTCAATGTAGTCTATCAGGAAAATGACCAGTCCGTAGCATTCTCTGAGACCATCTTTGTACCATTGTAAACTGTGCCTTTTCCTCATTGATTAGGTGGCTGATGCATCACAGTTGCAATTCAAAACATGATGGTTTTTTTAATGGGATAAATTCACTTCTAGAACTGGAGCCCAATATAGCATTTTTGACTATTATGTCACAGACTCATTTTGCTGAAAGCTCTTTTTAGCTGTTCAAGCTAAAAATGTAAAGAAGTGAATGTGATTGTGTAATGGTCTAAATCTTCGCACTAAGGAGCACCATATTTTCTAGCCGTCACTTTAATTGGACATGTCAGATAACATGAGGTGCCCGGAGAGAACCTCTTTGGATAGGATTAAGATTACCCAATGAAGTGTTTTAAGTCTTAAACCTTCAGTTGCTGATGTTGTAATCATTTCTGCCTTGTACTTAACTGTACTTAATCATTTCTGCCTTTTTCTGTCTTACATTCAACACATGCACAATGTAATAAAAACCAGGTTGTGTGTTTGCGCAAATAGGAATGCTTTAACTTCTCTGAGAAGTTTCCAAACCTAGAAATACTGCATGTGTTATGGATATCCAACCTGAGAAGTTGGGCCTGGGAAGAACTTCATGCCTGAGTTATCATTTGCTGTCTGCATCTTTACCAACTATCAAGCATACAGTATTTTTAATTGCAAAAGTTAAATATGTCTGTCATCTCGTTGTGCTTAAGTTGTGGACTGTCGAAGACCAGCAGGTATGGTACTATTTTGTGTTGCTAGCTGATTTTACTTATGAGCCAAATTCTTCTATTTCTTTTGAAAGTAATTGGATTCTTCAACTATATTTCCTTCTTGCTCAGATTTGAGTAGAATGTTGTATGACCTATTTTTTTTCCGATTTGGAAAAATAAATAAATGTAAGCATTGCAGGTATGTTGTTGAAACAGCTGTCTTCCAGTGTTGCCATTAAAATAACTTTTGGAAAAGCCAACGTTTGATTGTTGCTATTACTGATCTGTGCATATGAAGGAAAACGGTCTTAGGAATAGAATTCTGAATGGTTTATTCTTTTCAACCAGGTGAATATCAAATGATGACATAACGAGGATATCTTTAACTACACCAATATTCTGTTTTGGAGTGCAAGCCTTTATACTTACTGTGTAATCCATCTTGAAGAAAAAATCAAAACAATATACAAATTTACAAAGTTGATGTTCACTTTTTGGCTATATTAGCACATGCTTTTTAAACACTTACAGAATGTCTCTTACTCAGTTTTCTTTTTGAAAAAATCTTTAAAAGTAGAATGATGACATTCTTGTGAGCTTTTTAAAATGCTTGTATCTTGAAAAAGCTAGAGAAGCGTATTTCTTCATGATCAAGAACCTGAATTCTTCTTCCTTCTCATCCTCCTCTCCCATACCTCCTTCACATCTTGGAACTGAAAAGTAGGAAATGTTTGCATATAGTCCTTAACACTTACTGAACTGTTACCTTTTGTGTACCTGAATTCACAGTAGCAAAAATACATATGAATGGGTTTTGGCAGCTGCAGTTCTCTAACAACTTCTTTGTTTGTTTTTCAAACTGTATTCTTCTACAAATTCTGCTCTAAATTCATTCATGAGTATCTTCTTTACTCTTGCAGTATTTTGTACCGTGTAATTACACAATTATTTGCTTACAATAATAAAAAGAATTCCAGTGCGTTCTGGAATGATGGCATCTCAGTTAAGTAACTTGAATTGACATACATTGTGTTGTTAGTTCAATGTAGATCTTTTTTCTTTACATTCTGAGAATTTTCATAGCAGTGCCACTATAAGAAATGATGAAGTGCCAAGGAGTATTGAAATACACCGGAAGCAACTTTAGGAAAAATAGTCATGGTCCTTGATACACAGGAATATTTGAATTTTATTTGTTTTTTCCATAAGACATTTTGCAGGTAACTATGATATCAGCCTGAAAATAAAAGTATTTACATTTGTCAAAGTCAGTATTTGCCAATAATAGCTTGATTTATAGGTCACTTTTCTGGAATTATCTAGATGGTGAAAACTCTTCATTGTTGAATCCTACAGGTGCTATATATGGACAAAGCAGTGTTTGGATTTCCTCCCTGAGGCTGAAAGAAAGGAAGAAAAATAGTTGAGGCTATTTGTTCTAATGTTATGTTTGCTCATCACTGCTGAAGTTGCAATTTCCATTTCAGTGCTAGTTTCTGTAATATTATAGTACCAAGCTCATTGCTTGTACTGCGGTGCTGGCTCCCTCTCCTAAACAGGGAGACACTCTGAGTGAAATAACCTCTTCAGAACTCAGGTTATTGGACAAAGTACTACGTTTAGAGTGACCATTTTTCTTTTTACTCAAATTGTGCAGGATGGAGGCTTCGTGCCTAGAGCTGGCTTTGGAAGGTGAGCGCCTGTGTAAAGCAGGAGATTGCCGAGCTGGTGTATCTTTCTTTGAAGCAGCTGTTCAGGTTGGAACTGAAGATTTAAAAACACTCAGTGCTATTTACAGCCAGTTAGGCAATGCCTATTTCTACTTGCATGAATATGCAAAGGCCTTGGAGTACCATCACCATGATTTAACTCTTGCAAGGTAATCTTGTGTCTTTCTTTAACTGTGTTCTCCATTTCATCACATTCTTGTAGAGATGAGAGCAGCTGACTGTTCATTTTCCTCACAAACCTTGCTATTAATACTGGATAATGTGGGAATGTGGTGATGGCAGAAGGCCAGGGGGGTCTCGCAGGTAACTTGATTGCCCTTTAACCTGGGAGCTAATACTCGGTCTGGCACTGTAATCCTAGCACTGACTGAGGCCTCACCGGGTTTGTGGCTAATTAAGTTGCTTCTTTAAATCCACCCTTTCTTTACGCTTTCCTGTTTCTAAAACTCAGTCTTTCTGGTTCTCTAGAATGCTAAGCTGGCTCTCTTGTTCATCACTCATGTTTCTCTATGTAAAACTCCTAATATTATGAAATCTAAAAACCCTGTGCATTTCATGCGCTATTAATGCATCTGACTTTAGTGATTTGGTATAGATCCAATAAAAGGCAGAGGCACCTAATGTACTTAACCTCAATTTAGGCACAAACTTATTCTTCCCACTGCCTTAACCTGCTCCAGCGCTGTAACCTTGTGAAAGCTTGTAGCGTTGTGTTATTCCCCAGGTAGCACAGTCTGAGTGGTTCAGGGCCGGTCTTTTGTCTTAGTCTCGTTTAGAATCTAGAAATGTAGCATTACCCCTGAGCTTTCTGGGAGGCCAGTATATCTTGTAAATACTGTAAGACTATAATAGTCGAGTGAAATGCGGAAACAGTTAAACGTTTCTAATGCTGGGACTGTCCCTCTATATAATCATTAAGAATTTTCTCTTTATTCTCTTCCTAAAAGAAGTGATTTTTTTAAATATGGAGTAGATCCTCTGCAGAAGATGAAAGATCAGTTTTGAGACATAATTGGTCAAAAATGTTGATTTCCTTAAAATAAGGTATCCCTCTCCCCATTTTTATAAATTTAAAATTAATAATGCAGTTTAAATGCACATCTGAAATGTTTGCATCCACATACATGATGAATATCTATCATAGCTTGAAGGACTCCTTAGAATGACTTCAGCAGGCTCATATGAATGAATACGAGCAGCTGCATAGACGGCACCAACAAAATTAAATGTCTGTAACCAGGCAATGTTTATGTGAGTGCATTTTAGATATAAAATGAACTGAATACACATGCATTTAGATGCTTGGAATCTCTTTTCATAATTCTTCTAATTCTCTACCATACATTGATCATGTGCTTGGTTTCAAATTATATTTACCGGGTGCTTTATTTCTGCAACTTTAGGACAATTGGAGATCTACTGGGAGAAGCTAAAGCTAGTGGGAATCTGGGCAACACCTTAAAGGTACTTGGGAATTTTGAAGAAGCTATTGTTTGTTGTCAAAGACATCTGGATATTTCCAGAGAGCTTAATGATAAGGTAAGAATTGCTTAGGAATCGAAGTAAACCGCTAATACGTATTTCTGAACCCTGTTGTATTGGTAATGAGCGTGCCACCTTTCAGAGGCAAGTAAATACTGAATATTCAATTGTTTCTTCTAGACAGTAAGAATCTCATAGTTGTGTGCACCTGGAGGAATATAGATCCACGTTAATAAATATTATCCTGATTGGGTTTTTAAAAATTAATTTTAATGATAATTGGCCTCAAGAATTACTATGTATCTCACATCTCAAAAGGAAGTAGTATGCAAAAAAATTTGATTGAGGGCTGGGACTGGGTGGGAGTAAGGTGGGTAATAAGAACATGTTCAGAATGGGTAGAGCATGTCTTGACAACTAGTTAACAACCTTTTTCTCCCGTCTGTGGATTGTACAACTAGTTGTGACATGACTTTGAAGCATAAAATTTTAATGCCATATTTTACTTTTGGTATAGGTTGGAGAAGCAAGAGCACTGTATAATCTGGGAAACGTGTATCACTCTAAAGGGAAACATGTCGCTAATGCTGGGACTCACGATCCAGGGGAACTTCCAGATGATGTGAAAAATGCTTTACAAAAAGCTGCAAATTATTATGAGTAAGTAGTAACTTTAAATGTTGGGGATTGAGAGGATATGATCACCTAGTTCTTTAGAATATTGGGAGATCTGTGGTGTTATGAGCTAACCTGTGGCAAGCTCCTATTCAGAACAGCGGTACCTGTGAGTTTTTTCCCTTTTAAACTGGAGAGTGCGCTATTTTTTTGTTATGCCCTCATTTTTAGTGTACCTCTTATTACCTGATAAGTCCTTCCCTTACGTTAGAATCCAGTAGTACTTTTCAAACCAGACTGAGACAACGATAGGACCTCAGTGTACTTGTATATAATGTACTCTCTAACTAGAAGCGACCACACCAGCTTGAGTAGCAATGCAATTAAGTTTGGTATCTCACAGGAAATGTTTCCTACTCAGTGGAAAATTTCTGGTTGCATAAAGGCTGTTAAAACAAGCCAAAGTACCTTTTCCTTTATACAAATGGAAAGAAAAAAACCCCTCTTAAAAGTCACTATTCTTCCTCTTCTCGCTTCTCCCAAAACAGGGAAAACCTGTCAATAGTAACAGAGCTGGGTGATAGAGCAGCACAAGGACGTGCCTTTGGAAATCTGGGAAACACACACTATCTTCTGGGCAACTTCAGGAGTGCAGTTTTAGCCCATGAACAGGTACAACAATGTGCTAGTAAGGAATTCTGTTCTAGCAAAATATCACCAGTTGCTCCTGATCTTTTAGTATGGGTGTTGTGTTGGATTGTGTTGCAAACTTTTTAATGCAAGTTTTAAATCTTAATGGGACAGCTTCAAGTTTAGCTGTTCTTTTCAAACATTGTTGGCCTAAAGAACAGATGTAGATGCATGGTGGAAGAACTATAAGCATGCGTTTCTGCATGCAAATGCATGTTACAAAGTACAGAATGGAGTAAATAACACAATTATTTCACATTTTTAAGCGTCTCCTAATTGCAAAAGAATTTGGTGATAGATCAGCGGAAAGAAGAGCATACAGCAATCTCGGAAATGCCTACATATTCCTGGGTGAATTTGAAACTGCCTCTGAATACTACAAGTTAGTTGACTGCTTTTATATTTGTACCTCTTCTTGTATAGTTTAATTCTGTTGTGGCTGGTACTTTAGCTCACTGGAGAATAGCCATTTCTTCAACATACACTTAAAAACATGTACTTAGCTGCATTTGTTTAGCAAAAATAACATTTTTTTACCCCTAGCTGATTAGCTGTTGTGGTTCTTTTAAGGGAGGAGCAGCATTAATCTTTTTTTTTTTTGTTTTGTAACTTAAATAGATTCTTGTCCGCTCTGTGGATACTTCTCTGTTGGTAGGCCTTTATTCTGAAACCAAGTGTTGCTGCCTTAGCTCTTAGCAAGTTCTGGAATAATCTGAGTGCTGATCACCAGAGATAACACCTGAGCTGGGTAGCTGTCTCAGGTCTGCTCACTAGCTGAGACAGGTGGTGCACGTCAACACGATTCTATGCATTTAGTCTGTATTTTCAATCAAGACTTTTTTTCTTGGTCCCTGCAGCACTAAGCAGTTGCTGCAGTAACTCAGCCAGCAAGTATTAAGCATGGTCAGGTCGTTGAGGGAGATAATTCTGCCCCTCTGCTCTGGTGAGACCCCACCTAGAGTACTGCGTCCAGCTGTGGGGCCCAGCATAAGGACATGGACCTGTTAGAGTGAGTCCGTAAGGACATGGACCTGTTAGAGTGACTCCAGAGGAGGGTGGTAAAGATGGTGAAGAAGGCTGGCGCACCTCTCCTATGAAGACAGGCTGAGAGAGTTGGGGTTGTTCAGCCTGGAGAGGAGAAGGCTTTGGGGAGACCTTATGGCAGCCTTCTAGAACCTAGAAGGGGCCTACAGGAAAGATGGGGAGGGACTCTTTATCAGGGAGTGTAGCGATAGGATAAAGAAAGGGTAACGGTTTTAAACTGGAAGAGGGGAGATTCAGACTAGATGTAAGAAATTTTTTACAATGAGGGTGGTGAAACACTGGAACAGGTGTCCCAAAGAGGTGGTAGATGCCCCATCCCTGGAAACATTCAAGATCAGGTTGGATGCAGCTCTGAACAATCCGATCTAGTTGAAGATGGCCCTGCTCATTGCAGGGGGGTTAGCATCTTAATGTGGGTTTTGGGGCTTACTTCTTCTTACCTGTTCTTACCTGTATCTTCTGAATACTGCACAGATTCTTCTTAGCAAATTCTTCATACCTAGCAGGGACAGGCTGGCTTGGTGATAACACGTCTGTCTTGCTCTTGTTGATGGACCGTATACAGTATTGATTGTAATTAATAAACTAAACAGTTTCAAGTGCATGGTGCATGCTGCCAGGAAAACTGCTATAAATTATTGATGAAGCAATACATTAAAATTAGAAAATGCTGTTTGATGAATCAGTCTTTCCAATAAAGTAAATGGAAATAGGTTGCAGTGGGAGGAAGACAGACATTTAAAATCTTGTAGGAGTTTACAAGATAGTCATTTATTAGCATGTAATCTGCCAGCCTGGTGTCCTAATTTGTTTAATTTATATAATTGATCTTTAGTTGCACAAGTATACTTTTAAAAACTTTTCCTTGCAGTGATTTTTGAGGTGACTAACCCTTTCTTTCAGGAGGACGTTACAGCTGGCTCGTCAGCTTAAAGACAGAGCTGTGGAAGCACAGGCCTGCTACAGCCTTGGGAACACATACACTTTGCTTCAAGACTATGAAAAAGCAATTGATTATCATCTGAAACACCTTGTGATTGCTCAGGAATTACATGATAAGTAAGCCTTAAGAGATGATTTAATGTATGTATGACACTTAAACCAAATCCCGTTACCTCTAACTCTGCTGTCATTGTTCTGTATCTGACAGCTGAATTAATGTAAAATCACTATAATGCTGGGCTCCAGTTTTCATACGGGGGAAAAAAGAAATTACCCATGAAGGTATTGCAACTAGCAAGTCTGAGATGAAAGACGAATTGATGAATGACTGTCTCGGCATCTTCTGTCAGCATCTTCTTTGTAAATTAAGGAAAAGAAAAGCAGATCTCTCTTTTTCATGACTTCATTATAATAATTTTGCATACCTTCAGAAGGATGTCTCTCCTACTTTTCCACAAATTAAGACTATGAAAGGGATGGGAAAAGGAGAACAATGCAGTAGCAAGTAATGCATATTTTATAATCATGATTTCTCAGGCCACTTTTATAATGTTGGGTCCAACTAAAATTTTTTACAACTTTTAAATGCACTACTTCTAACTCACTATTCAATGAATAGTCTGCTTATTAAGGCATGTGATCTGAGGAAAAGCAAAGTAGGTTACAAAACGTTCCATGCTTGCAAAACTCGGTGACTTGTTTGCTGTGAGCTTAAAAATTAAAATTTTGATTAGATTTCCTCATGTTTATGGTTATACCCAGATCACACTCCTTTAAATACAACACTTAAGGTGTTGGAATGGTTTGATGATAGCCTTCGTTTTTCTTGGCACAGCAATCTTATTGTGGCAATATTATGAAAACCTGACCCCTAGTGTTCAGTGAGTAATGGCGTAATATAAACGTGTGTTTATTTTTTGCAGAATTGGTGAAGGAAGAGCATGTTGGAGTTTAGGGAATGCATATACTGCTCTGGGAAATCATGACCAAGCTATGCATTTTGCAGAAAGGCACTTGGAGATTTCAAGAGAGGTATGATTTTTCACCCTCTCCGTACATTCGCTGTTGGGTTTTGCTCTCACTTACACAGTGGCTTTATGGAGGTGTGTCCACGCATGTGATTTTGAGTAATGGAATGGATTTTGAATGATTTCTGAGATAGCCGATTCCAAATTATTTCAGCCACCTCTCACTGCAACTAGCCCTTAGCTCTCATGCCACCTCCAATAATGTCATCATGGAATTCAAGTTAATAGCCTAGCAGAGCTTATTTTATGGTTTTTTATGTACTTCTTAATTGTTACATATTTCACTAAAAAGCTGATTCTCTTGGTTTTCAACCAGAAAAGCTTTTTCAGCCTTTTTCTCTCCAAAATCTAGGGGACGAGGTTTGCTTTATCTTTACATATGTGTATACTTTGTTACAGTAATAGAACTGCTTATTTTATTTGCTTGCAGGTAGGAGATAGAAGTGGGGAACTCACTGCTAGACTTAATCTCTCAGACCTTCAAATGGTTCTTGGATTAAGCTACAGCACAAACAACTCCATGATGTCGGAAAGCCATGTGGTAGATAACAGTTTGAAGGGTATGTGCCTATTCCTGCAATACTTTCTAATACTGAACTTCAAAAAGAATCTGTTGTTTGTGGTGTTTTCTGCCTACAGATGGTTGAGTATGGAGGTTTGCTGGGTTCCCCCCCCAGCAAGAAAAGGTTGTTTTTGCCGTATTGCACCCCTTCAGCTCCTCCTTTTCTGGAGGGTTTACATTGTGAATCACAGGTTCCTGCTTTATTTCTTCACATGATATTTCTAATTATCATGTCCCCCTGCCTTTTTTTTTTTTTTAATAATTTTTAATGTGGGAGATGTATCTGTTGGCTGCCAAATTATGTCTTGCCTTTTTTCTTCCTACCATCTTAGTGACATGGGGGATTACAATTCAAGTCAGTTCATTTGATGTTCCTCTGTTCAAAGATCCATGGTCCTTCTCTTGTGTCCCATGAAAGCAACTTATGTAGCTTAGATCAGTGTGGTTTTGAAGGCTGCTTTTACTAGTTGTTATTTATTCTTTGCTGATATATTTAACTGCATTATTTTGGAACTCAGAACTGGTATACATTGGACCTCAGATACAGCTCGAAAGGTGACACCATAAATCTTAATGATAAAAAGATGAACTTGATTCTTTCAAAGGTACCAGACCAAGAGTAGGACGCCGTCACAGTATGGAGAATATGGAACTTATGAAGTTAACGCCAGAAAAGGTTGGCACTTTTCTTCTTTCTCTTCTGTCGGTGAGAGTGCAGTGCAATGTTTCTAAGGGTTTAACTTCAACAGTTATGAACAGTCAGAGGTTTTATACTTAACAACTTTGAAAGAACTCAGCAGAATGTTGATGCATCATCTGCATCCCCTTTTTAATTTAGTTAAGATTAAGAGTTAGCTAAAAGCGAGTATAACAATCCTAACAAATAATACGTTTGTCACGTAGGTAGCAGTCAGCATCTTACACACGTAATGGTTGTAATGGGTTGTGGGAAGCTTGCTTTATTCCCCTCACAAATAAGAAAGACTGGGGTCCTGCAGTGTGCATCAAAGGGATTCTTTTCATCTCTTCTTTAAAAGTGGTTTGAGGATGCAGCATGAAAGCGACTTAGAGTAACATTTCTAAGCTTTAGCTCAGCTGTTCGGAACGTTTTTTCTTTGGTTACAGTCATTTCCTAGGCACCTAAAGTACATGTTTTTCACTTTGGGATTTCAACCAGCTTTCCAGCCATTAGGATTTTCAACAGCTGTCTTGAGTAAGGATGTTATTTCAGAAATGCTGAAACTGAGTCACAGATAGGTAAAGTAACTTTCCCCCCAAGCTCAGAGAAATCTCTTGGAGCTGGGAGTTCCTGATGAAAATCCTTACGTCAGTCTTCAAGAGACTTCCTTTAAATTCTGTCTGCCTTTAAACACTGGGCTGGCAGTTCTACAGAAATGACTCCAGACTGAAATTGCTATTTTTCCCTCCTTACCGGGATATCGAATTCCCATCTCTTCAAGTGATGCAAAGCCTGCCATCGTGTTTATCAAATAAGAAATTAAATCTCAAGGCTTACATCTTGACAGTTGGTACAGCTGAAGTCAGCACTGATGCTCAAGAGCCTCTTTGTGTACTGATTTAAAAAGCTCGTGTGTTTAGTCCAGGGTGGTTTCTCTGCAGGGAACCTTTAAGCTTTCGGCCGGTTATCAGCTGTATTTTCTTACTCTGAATCTCTTTATCATCTGATATCTTTTAAAAACACAGCCTGTGATAGTCTGTGCTCTAAGCACACTAAAATGTTTCATGTGGATTTTTGTAATAAAGTATTAACCTAGTATTGCAGCTTAGCTGTTAGAAAGAGCTTTTTTCAAGATACCCATTGAGTAGATTCTGAAAACTCATTCCATGAATGTCTCTGATATACACTGTTCTATATGACACCAGCATTATGGTTTGATTGTACAGGATGCCATCTTGTCAGCCTTGGAATCTGTGCTGATCTTCAGTAAGCCGTTAAAAGGCAATCCATTTGGGATTTCAGGCGTTGCTGAAAGATCTGTGATTGCGTTCACAATTTCTGATGTTGAATCAAGAAAAAAATGGGTTTTTTTCAGTTATTGTAAGAGTTAGTCAGTTGTAGATAAAGCTGTCAATTTTGTGGATAATTCTGTTTATTTTAGAAGAGAATCTAGGGAAAATCTGTCAGGTTGATAAAGCTATCATCTATTCTGTTCTTCAGTGACACAAGATGGTTATTCCTGTTTGCTCTCGTGCTGGCATTCTTCTCCCTCTTCCTTTTCAATATTTACTGGGAATTTTCTGTCTGTAAAGGACTTCATAGTCCTTAGAAGGCTGGTTGAGTATCTGGGTTTGTATAAGGGTTTGTTTTGCTCTAACACTTTGTAAAACTATGGATTTTTTTAATTATTTTTTTCTTTCCAATTATAAAAATGTCAGGTGGGAAATGCCAGCCCTGTCTGCATTTTAGCATTCACATTAACTACATTTCTTGGACTGCAGTCAGCAAGGAAAGCTTCCGCGTGTTTGATTAAATATATGATTTGACCACATTTTAATCAATCAGGTGTCACAGTACAGTTCAGTTACAAGACTGATCAGTAACAGTACTACCCTGCTTCAGGTATCAACAGCTCCATAATCACAGGTCAAATAATAGAACCAAAATCGAAGTTGTCATATCCTCGTGGTTGGGTAAACTAAATAATGTAAAGCTGCTTCATTTTGAGGAGGAAAAGAAGCAGCAAATAAGAGGTAACAGTATAGGTTATTAAAATCAGAAAGCTTAATTTCCTGACTCTTGTTTTCATAGGTTCAGAACTGGAACAGTGAAATTCTTGCTAAGCAGAAACCACTGGTTGCCAAACCTTCAGCAAAACTGCATTTTGTAAATCGACTAAAAGGCAAAAAGTACAAAAACGGCACCACTTCCAAAGTTTTGCAGGATGCCAGTAATTCTATTGATCATCGACTTCCAAACTCCCAGAGGGTAGGTTTGGCGAGCTGTGGAGATCATGGCCTTTACTAATCTTTGTCTGATCAAAAGTATGGAAAACACATACCTGCAGCTGTCCATTTCAGTTTTACTTGCTTTAAACACTGTGGCTCTGTGAAACAATGCAGAATCTGCCATTCTAGAGCTGTCTCATGGGTGGTGCCAGCTTTAAGCTTTTCCTACTATTGGAACATTTTTTTTACTGGTGGATTTTCTAAAGTTACAGCTCAACTTGTCTAGTCTCTTCTAGACCCTGCTTCTCCAAACTTCATAAAATCTAGTTTTTCTGATTCAGACAGTGGGAGGTATTTTTGACATATTCTTTAGGTTACTGCGCTCTTGACAGAAGTCAGGTAAAAATAAAAGCACTGAGTCATTCGATCTAGATGCGAGATCAGTGCTTTTGACCTCCAGCCTGAGGAGACAATAGAAACTGTTCATTGCTGTTCTTCTTTTCTTCTTTCATGGGCATTTGGGGTTTTGGTGGATTCTTGGCTGAGGAGGAATAACTCCAGTTGGACTGATTAGAGCGCTGTTTCTTTCTGTTTCAGAGAATTAGGTTTCCAATATAGTTAACCTCCCAAAAATGCTTGCCCCGTAGTATTAGCACTCCCTCTTGTGATAAATCTCTGTCTGTAGAAGTGGATGACTAACAAAATTCATTTAATGTATTTCAGATATGCAAATATCAAACCTATTACTGGATTGAAACTGTGATGCAGCTGTCCTAGTTTTACGTAGTCTTGAGTTCAAAATACCCCTAACTCTTCTCTCCTCTTCAGAAAAACAGTCGAGAGACAATGGCAGATGAAGGGTTCTTTGATCTGCTGAGTCGGTTCCAGAGTAACAGGATGGATGATCAGAGATGCCACTTCCAGGAGAAGAACAGATTCTCAGCTGCTTCGGTGGCAACATCCTCTACTCCACCTAAAACAATGAGAAAATGTAATTTTTTTAAAAAGTGAAATCCATGTCTGACTTCAGTTCCTGCCAAATACTACTTTAAAAATGTATTTGCATGTAAGACTTACTATGGAGAGGAACTTATTTCTAGGCTAACTTGTTTTCTTCCTCCTCCCCAGCCTTTTCCACTTCTGTAGTCTCACCCCACACAGACGAATTTCTAGACCTCCTCGCTAGCTCCCAGAGCCGCCGGCTGGATGACCAACGCGCTAGCTTCACTAATCTCCCTGGACTTCGTCTCAATCAGCACAGCAGTCAGTCGGTCCTGGGACACCTCATGGCAAGTAACAACAGAGAACTAGATGACGACTTCTTTGATATATTGATAAAATGCCAGGTAAGTGTTTTTTACAAAAATTCTTCAGATTCTGAGTCTTTGGGGATTTGATTTGTGCATCCTGCTATTTAGTTTCTTCAAGGACACTTGCTAATTTCATTTGAGAAGTTTAACTTGAAACAAAACTTACTTACAAATTCAATCCTTGTAATAGCTTTAAATCTGAAAAGAAAAGCTTTTAGTAATTTTTCACTTAAAATAGGTGAACTATATATTATATATATTCCTGTAAACATGCAGCATTATTGCTTGTCTGTCTGTAGGGTTCCAGACTGGATGATCAAAGATGTGCTCCTCCATCATCTGCAAAAGGACCGACTGTACCAGATGAGGATTTTTTCAGCCTGATTTTACGATCGCAAGCTAAGAGAATGGATGAACAAAGAGTCCATTTACCTTCAACTATAAAGGGACCGAATTCTAGCTAAAGAAAGAAAGAGGTGCATACTGTACAGCAGCATCTTGGGTTTCATTTTTGATTGCTGGAAAAAACATACATGCCTTTTTACAGAAGACTGCAATTAGTAGTTTTGTCCCCTTTCTAATATGTTTTTATATAAATAGCAGCAGCATCCCACTTGTGACCAGTAGTCAGAGTTGCCGCTGCTCTTTGCAGCTGGCAGCTGCTTTTAGCAGTGTCCGAGATACTGATTACTGTATCTCCCTCTTAACTGCCTCTAGTCTATGAACATTAATAGGAGGTTTTTTTCCTGTCAAGGTACTCTCATTGCTGATGTGTGGATTCTGCCACTGTCTCCATCTAGTGTAAGACCTAAATTTGTACATTCTTTTCAAAGAAAACTTGATTATTTTTCCCCCTCATTTGTACCTCCCTGGAAAAAGGTCCTGGTTTCTTTTATACTTTTTTTAAAAATAAAAAAAAAATAATTGAGAAATAGCTTCAGTACTTAGTCTTTCTTTCTTCCAAACTGTGTTTCTGCAATCTTTGTTATTTAAAAAAAAAAGTAATAATCAAACCCTAGTTTTAATTCTCTTTAATACAAAAATAGTCTTTTCAAAACACGCTGGGTTTTTTTGGTAATATTTAGTTAAGTTTTTCCTATATTACCCAGCCCAGTTTTACAATCAGAAGAATTTTTTAAGATGATACACTTGTTTTTAAGTAGCACTGCCAGTGCTGTTCTATGGCTTGTGTGGTACACGTTGAGCACCAGTAGTAGTCCATGCACCAGAGAGTCCCAGGGGTGGCAGGTACATGGCACGGACTACCACCAGCGTCAGGTAATTCCTACAGGTAAGTGAATTTGAAGTGTTACAACCAGTAAATGTATGCATGCTGCTTATTGCCTGACCTCAGCTACTTGTCCTTCTCTTGATAAGGACGTGCTCTGCTGGGGTAGTTCTAGGGAACAACAGTTGTAACTTAGTCATCCCCTCGGTAGACACCTGTACTGAGGTGGTTCTTGGGAACCCCGAGTGCTATATGTTGAGTTGCTTTGCGTTAGAAGCCACTGGTTTTAACACCAAAGGTGGCAAACTGTTCACTTCAGGTATTTATAAATGAAGTGAAGTCATTTTTTTATTGAAGTACTATAGCTCTAGAGAAGAATCTACCATTAGTTTCAGCTTCAGAGTAAAATGGCATTGTAAGAATAGTCAAACAGACACTGGCTCCACATATTACAAACTATTTTACAGTTACTGAAAGTTTTAGGAACATTCTCTTGCAGTTTTTTTAGCACTGAAATTGATTCCTACTGAAACTAAATCCGTCCTGCTTTTGAGGAGAAATGCCAAATATTCATACAAAACCTACACATTACCATCAGGTTATCATGCTGATCTTTGGTACTTTTACTTAGTAAAAGCTTTGAATTGCCCTAAAAAAATATCTATCTGGTACAACATCAGCTTCTTACTCCTCTGCAAATTAGTATTATGAAACCAGAAGAAAATCACCGAGCTGTCCTAAAACCACACTGACAAGCAGCAAACTGGTTTTAAACCTCAATCACGACAAGAATATAAACCAAAAGATAGTCCCGAGACATCTATCTGAGCTGCCATTAGTCTTATGTGACTTACATGAACATCGGCAACTTTCTTCTTTGACCGTTACCCAATTAGGCTGACGTTTGCTAGATCACAGAGTATCAGCGCTTTCCCACCAATGAGTATCTAGCCTTACTCAAAACTTACTATGCAAAGTTGGTTTCAAACAAGAAGCGACACACCTACAAGCCTGTTTTCTTGGCCACTTAAAGTTGGAATACCTTACTTAACAACATACTTACTTTAAATTCCAGAAGTAGCACATATACTCAGTCTCTCTGTTTTTAAAACTCTACCTAGCTTCCAGCTATGCATGCTAAGGCTCTGACCAGAGATGAGCTGCGTGCTTTTCTGCGTTTGAGAACTAGAACAGAACTAGCAAGTACGTGACAACTAAAGATGAGCCAACACTTACAGCAGAGCTTGGGACTTCCTTAGTGTCCTTCCTCTGAGTCACGGGAACTGCTCTTTTTCTTCTCTTCACACGGGGCCGTTACAGAACTTTGCCCTTCTAGGTTTTTATTAGGATCACAGTTTTCTCCAGTCTCTCGCTCTGCTTTGCCTGTCTCCTGCTTCTGCTGCTCAAGTGCATGTTCTTCAGTAAGGTTTTCAGCTGTGATAGTTTCTAGTCTACAAACTTCAGTGTGCAATCTATTCTGTAAAAATTAATAATAAGCTATTAATCAAGCAATCCAAAGTGATGACGGCACCTATTGCTTCAGGTGCACCTCAGCTCAAGGGGCAGAACTCCCCCAAAGCATGACTGGTAACTTTTTTTCCTAAGGGAACACGTAAATAAGCACAATCTCGAGTATAAGTCTGTTTTAAATTTTCTGTAGTTTACAGAAAAGTCAGCACTGCTGCTTTTCTGCGCCTTTTCTCTGTGGGTAACTACTATTGCCCAGGCTGACATAATTACTGATCTCACAAAATTGAAGTTATTGAAGTCTTTACTATAAAAGTAGAGTTTTAATTCAGTAGTTTCCCGCCACAATTGGCCATTGCACAGTATTTTTCCAGGACAAAATATGTCCAAGACGATACCTCTACCAAACTGTTCTCTAGGGGAAGAGGTACTTCCTTAACTCCTCTCTCCCCAAGATTTGGCTTAACTTTGTTTAAATGTGTTCTAGCAGGTGACATTGAAATCTATTAAATTTAATCCCAGCTCAAAGAGCACCAGGGCTAACATACAGCAGGTTCTGGTTTGTGAGACTCTTCTACTTGCGTGTCCGGCTCCTCGCTTGTATACACGCTGTCAGGACTTCTGCTGCCGTTTCCTGGTCTCACAGGAGCATCTCCTCTGTCATAAGGTCCTCTATAAACGTAAGGATGCTTCTGCAAATAATAGCCATCCGATTTACTCCCATCATACTGCCCAAAGTCTATTTTCTCCTGTTGACTGTCAGGTGGAGGAAGACTTCTTTTGTGAGAAGATGTTAAGTATCTTAACATAGACACCGATGATCCTGCACCATAGCAGAAAGCCTGGGGGAGGGGGGGTAAAAAAAAAGAACAAACTGCTAAATATTTGCAGACTGCGGCTTTCACAGAGAATTCAAAGTCAGATATCTGAAAAACACTGAAAAAAAGCTCAGGTGATAAGAAGGGCTACAATAAAATTCAACCTTTCTGCAGTCTGACCACACTGCAGGAACTGCCAGACTGGGTGTAGGTTCATCTCTGGTGCTACGATAAAGATGTTGAAGGCTCTAACTCAATGCTTTTGTGTACAAAATGCCAATTATATAATTACATATTATATTAAATGATAGTCTGAAGATTTTAAGCAGTTTAATACTATTATATTCCTCTCGGGGAGTGGCGGAGAGATGCGGTTTAAATACAGACTTACCTATTTTAATTGCTAAACCAGCTGTACTATAAAGATTTTGTCAAGAAAAAAATCCCATGTAGAAATAATTTCATCTGTGCCAAGAAATTTGTCCAGTTGTACAAACAAAAAAATATTTAATAGGTAATAATACTTAAATATAAAAATGTTTAAGATATACAAAACAACTGAGCTTTTAAATATAAGATAAATGTATACAAACCAGGACAGCCAGAGCCATCATAATTAGGACTGGAATCTGCAGAATAAATGGTATCTCCTTCATAAGTGCTTTGATGAATTCACCAATACCCTGTCCTACGTGCTTCAAAGGCTCAGTTACAAAGTTGGTGAAAGTAATTGCCAATGCCTAGAAAAATACAAATAGAAAATTAGCTTTGTCACTGATTGCAAACATAAACATGAACAATCTCTTTAGGCTTGGCCTATACCTTTGTTGGCGGAACCAGCAGAACAGGATTCACTAGCAGAGTTTCATAATACTTCTGACAGGGATCGTCCTGAAACGTCCATTTACTTCTGAGCCATTCTGTAGTCAAAGCAGAGATACATTTTTACTACTTTTAAAAAGTACATTTTATGACACAGTAGTAACACAGAAAGTAGCATTTCAATTACAGATGGAAGAGAACTCTTCCGGATATAGGTCAAAGCTCTGATTTATTTTTAAAAATCTGAGATTAACTTGGCAGTGTAGTTTATCCAGTCATGGGGATGCAGGAAGGAGAGGGAAGGCTGGAAAGAAAGAGAGGAAACTGAGGTTTTCCCATGTTTAGTCAAGAAAGTTCTCTTTTATTAGAGGAACTTAGTCCCTAGAAGCCTCAGAAGAGAAGACAGTCTTGTCTGTGAGAACTATTATCTAGCACATTTTGTCTGCAGCTACTGAAACAGAAGTAATTCTGAGTGTTATTACTCATCTGCCAGGCTGCAAGTAGATTAAAATGCGTATTTTCCTTGCTAGATTTCAAGAGACTATTTGTTATAAGCAGAAAGTTTTACTCTTTAAGGGAACTTTAAGTGATAAACAAGTAATTTATGACATCAGTGTTTCTGTAGTTCGATTTTAGTGCAGTGAGAACATAAACCACTGAAATTTGAAATAAACAGAGCAATCCCAGCCAATAAATCCTAAAGGGAAGACCATAACAAGCACTTAATAAGAGTTGCCATCGTTAATCTGCCTGCTATAGCATTGGATAGTAAGTAATGGCTAATAAAAACATTCAACTTTTTCTGTAAAGTAACAAAAGTAGAGTAAGTAGTTACAGATCTAATTTCTGAAGTCCATTGTACTCGCAGGCCTGAAAGGTGAAAAAAACCCCTTCTCTTGAATTCTGCCCTCTTGTCTTCAATAAATGGCACTGAATGGTACTGGGGGAGGGGAGCTGGGGAAACACGGGGTAGGGTATAAGGAAAAGAAGTAACACTGGGACATGCTCTAAGCACAGCTTTGTGATGAGCTCTCTGTCAAAGGCCTAGAAAAGAAAGTCTTGTGGAACGGAAAAATGGAAAAAAACACATAATCATGTATTGCTGAAGAAGACTGAATGTACTGCTCATGAAGAAATTAGAGAATTCTTGGATACTGAGTATTTTGTAATCTTAGATACTATTATGAAATAATGGAACAAGTATTTACCAATAAGACTTCCTCCCCAGTCCAACTTCTCAGCACAGATGTTATCGAACTGCCCCATTTTCGCAATTTCTGCTTGATGCTGCGCAAAGGCCAGCTGCGGGAGAATAAGAATTACTCGTAAAACATAAACCAAGGTGGTGCTGGGCGCAAACACCTGCATCCATGCAGCACTGCACCTGAGCTAACGATGTTTGCTCTTGGCAGGTTTGGGATAATTACCTGTAAATCTGTATGAAGAAAAGTTTACTACCTAACCAGTTTAACAGAGTTCAATTCTAAGTACTTCCTCGGAACGGATAAAAACTACGAAGATGAATACCTCTGAGTTATTCTCTAAATGAAGTCTAAATTACCAAAAGAGCGAACTTCAATGTTCAAAGATCTAAGCTCAGGGCAAAAGTAATCTGATGACATCTTAAATGTGTCCATAAAATGTTAAACATCTGACGACATCCTTAAAATGTTTCTGGATTAAAAACAGGGACAGCTGCCGTGCAATTACTAATTAAAACGTCGGGACATTCTATTTTTTTAAAATAATTCCCATTAACCAATACCTGTATTCATTCTAATTTTGCCTTACAGTTTGCAACTAATAATCAAATAGAAAAAATTAAGTCAAATAGTCTGTTGAAGAACTCTGACGTTCTTCATTGACCCAATCTAAGTCCTCTGCGCGGCAGCCCACTCGTGTTCAAGAGCTGTCCGTCTCACAGGCGCTCTGCTACTCCTGGGTCTGACATGCTGCAGTTTAATTCTGCTGGCAAGATGCGAGCACGGAGAGTTTGTGGTTGGGCTACAACCTAGCAGCAAAAATTCCTCCTCATTGTACAGTCAGCTACTTTATCACCATTAATGAAGCATTTATCTCTGTTCTATTACATTTTAAGTAAAGTTTTAGCCAGGGAATTTTTACAAAGAAAAAACAAACAACCCCAAACTACATTTTCGTAAGACTTTTCTCTGAAGCTGCTTTATACAGAGTTCATGTCTCCCTTGCCCACGCAGTGAAATCACAGTTCTACTGCTTTATGAATTTTGTGCACCTCTGCGGCAGGATAAAAGTTGGCAGGGTTTCTTTTGCTCTTCTTTAAGCCTACTACACCTGTCAACATGCAAAATAAAATGTTCATCCCTTTATTTATTTTGCAGTCAATTGTTGTTTTATATGAACTAAATATCCCTTGTAACTGTAAAATCTTAAGCCTAAAAGCCATTAAGATTTTGGAACAACTTACCTTATACAAGTAAAGCCAGTTCCACGCAAAACTGATGAGAAAACTTATTAATAAAACACGTTTGAGCTGAACAAACCAATGAATACGTGTCCAGAGCTCTGTAGCTATTAGAATTACAATACACACTAAGCACAAGAGTATCTGAAAAAGAAAACAGGAAAAAATTGTGATCCAGATTTGAATTTTCCAAGCTTACTGCCAGTACACATGAAGGAACTTCCAACTTTTGTTTTTACTAGCGACATTTACACAAAACAGTTGAGAGAATTTTTGAGTGCCTTCACAGTGCTTCATAGTGCCTTCACATACTTCATAGTATGTGCCTGGTAGGAACCACCACACCGCTGCTGCCAACTCCTGCAGTTTGGTTAAGAGACAAAGTTCCAGTTTGGGTAACAGCAGCCAGACTTCAGAGAAGCATTTTACAGTCTCTTTCCACGCGAGGACCCCTAACAGCGAGGTTACGCTACCAATCGCTTGCTTTTTTCATTTGGCGTCCATGGACCCCCCTTGAAACTAGACAGGGTTATTTCAATGTCTGCAGCCGTACAAGGCAGAAAAGTTTCATGGTATTACTAGTAGCCGGTCCTATCACAGCCTTTTGTTGCACTTGCTCATTTTTTTCTTGTGATACTTAGTTCCTCCTTACAATATTTATCATGTTTCCTGCCATACTTTAAAATTACAAAACTGATGTGATTCAGTGCTTCAATAGTATGTGCCTGGTAGGAACCACCACACCGCTGCTGCCAACTCCTGCAGTTTGGTTAAGAGACAAAGTTCCAGTTTGGGTAACAGCAGCCAGACTTCAGAGAAGCATTTTACAGTCTCTTTCCACGCGAGGACCCCTAACAGCGAGGTTACGCTACCAATCGCTTGCTTTTTTCATTTGGCGTCCATGGACCCCCCTTGAAACTAGACAGGGTTATTTCAAGATCATCTCAGCATACAATGTTAGCATATTCTGAACGGTAAAGATTTATTCAGAGAGCTTCAGCTTATTATAGATCCTCAGCTTCACACTTCATAATTCCCTTTTAGTGAATATGACATTTTCACACAGTCACACTCTCCTCTCCAAAA